GTTTTCTCCTTTCATCTCTGCCTCTTTGGGTTTTTGGCAAACATCAAGGCAAATAAATCAGACCCACCACTGCAAGCCCATCTGCTTTCAGGGACACGTAAGCCGACCAGTTTGTGATGTTTTACCATAGATCTGGCTCCAGCTTAGAACTGAAGGAGGATCCCTGTGGAGTAAGAATAGAAGGCACGTTTTAAGGTCAATTTTTTTTAAGCTCTGAATCATTTATTTGCTGACTGTGACTAGGCATGGTCTACACTGGCATTTCTAATGACACTAACAAATTGACAGGATATTTACAAAATTGAAATGATTTTGTAGCAGATGACAAATGAAAATACAGTTATAGTTTGGATTTGACAATAGAGATTAATAAAAAATGCTGTCATAGTTGTAAAAATGTAGCAAATTAAGATACAGCCAAAGGTGTTCATTAATCAGGGCATTACTTTGCACTTCATCTGGTGTTAAGGCCACATGTGAAAACAGTCATCCTCACTAACATCCCTTTCCAGTTGTTGACAGCCTAGAAATTGTTTCATAAAAAATAATAAGATATGGTCATCCAAACCTGTTTTCCTAATTCTTGTTGACACTTGAATGCTTTCTCACAACAAGCAAGTAATAGATATTACGAGGGTTACGAAGTTGTCGGTGTTCGTGTGTTTTATTAGAAGAACAGCTCATGTAATGCTCTCAATCACAGGCTATAAATTGAATCCACTTAAAGTGATCAAAACTTAATTGAGCTATTTAGATTTCTTAGAGCTAGTTTCAAACTGATCTTCAAGAAGCTGAATTATATCCTCTGTTGGACTATCGATTTTTATGATACTAGAGATTAATGTCTTTTTTGAAGAAATGTCTAGTCTTATGACTTAGTGGTTTGGAAATGAAAAAAAGTCCTTGAAAGTTAAAATATATAGAAGTTTTGTTTCCATGTGGTAGTAGTGTCAGGGTTGTGTGTCAGAGGTATGTGTTGCGGCAGGCAATAAAACTCAGCTCTGAAGACTTTCTTCCAAATCTCTCACTGCTATTCCCTGATTCTGGTCTGAGTCAGCTTTTTGCGTACCTGACCCCTCCTTAGGCAGGATAGGAGATGATCTCAAGGACTTTGCCTACCAGTTACTTTCTTGGTGGTGATGATCAAGAAGGGAGCTGTGCAATTGTGACTGTGGCATTTGTCTGCTCCCTAACCATGACTTCAACCCTTCTCTGATCCTCAGAAACTGAATTCTAAAGTAATGAATGAAAATGGTAGCTGTACTGGTAAATTTAGCTTCTACCCTACCCTGTCCTCCCCAGTTTTCATTCTGGATGTATTTGGGTACATCTTTCTGTCTTGTATGAATATATGTAAAGCTGTGGCCAGAGAGCCTATCAGTTGATATTAACATCACTTCATCCAAATAATTGTTTACTGCTTGATCATGAATTAATAGTAACAAGGACAATTAGGACACATAAGATTAATATGTCATTGTGCTGAAAACTCTAAGGGAATTGCTTTCCTAATCATTATGTTCATGATATCCAAAGAAAAATAATGATTTATTATTTAAAATGTACCAATACAGAAGGATGTCTGAAATATACACTCACCGCAAATTTTAAACAGTTAAATGTGATTCTAAGGAAGAAGGGGAATAGTAATTAATAATTCCTGTTTTTATTTATTTTTTTAATGAGTGCTCAATTTATACTAGTCAGTGTGCTTAGCAGTTGACATATTTTATTCTAAACAACATGCATGTTGTATTATCATCCCATTTTACTGATAATGAAACTGAGTTTAGTGAGATTAAATAATTTGTCTCAGACACTATAGGTATTGAGTGGTATAGCCAGAAGTAGAACCATTGAGTTTGTCTTGCTCCAGAGCCACTAAACCACTATATTAAACTGAGGATCAGAACAGGAGAGTGTCTACTGGGAAATAAATTGTGGATAAAGTTGTGAGTCTCTAGATATTGGTGAATTAGCTGCCCATGAAGGAGTGAATTCTTCCCTCTTCTCATTCTGAAGATAACTGTCAGGACTTAAGGAGAGTCTGCTTATGGGCACTTTAAGAAAATGACCCCATTATCAGTTTTGGTTGTACTGTAAAATGTATTTAGCCATAAAGGCAGTTTGCCTTGTAAAGCCAAAAAAAAAGAAAATGTGTTTAGCCATATTTAAAAAAAAGTTTTCACTTGAAACTTAACTTCAGATATTTGGATTGTGAATTATTTGGCTTCCTTTTTGTCCTTCTCTCTTAGTTTATTTCTTATAAAAATTGACAGCTGTAATTCGAGTAAGTCTAAAAAGAAATTATTATTGAAGAGAAAAATTGTTTTATCTTCCTCACCCAGTGACTCTCTGACTCAAACATTTGTTGAATGAATGAATGAGTGAAATTTGGGGGATTAGGTGTGGATCCTGAAAATATACTGTTCTATTCTTAGTATTATGGGTAATTGAGAGGTGTTTTTAGCTTTTGCTTTGAAAGCATGATTATTTTCTCTTATCTAGTATGCAATTTCATTCATATCAGTCTATTTGTAAGAGTCTAGTGTACCTCTTGACCTCCACTTGTATGAAATGGATCAGTGAATTATGCAAAATAGCTTATTTAGTTTATAAAGTGAAGTTCCAGTAGTTGTTACCTTAGCTAACTGATAGCAATATTTAGAAGAAAGCTCTAGAAAACACATGTGTAAAAAGCATTTAAAAGTAATCCTTTCTTCTGTATAGCACAGGGAACTATCTTCAATACCTTGTAGTAATGTATAGCAAAAAAGAATATGAAAATGAATGTGTATGTATATGTACGACTGAAACATTATGCTGTGCACCAGAAATTGACACAACATTGTAAAGTGACTATACTTCAATAATAATAAAAGTAATCCTAGAAAGGGAAAGTTTACTAAGTAAGGAAAAGTTTATGATTTTTATTTTTATTTGATTTGGTCCCTTTTTCTTAAAACAAACAAGGAAGATTCAAATATTCGTAGAAAAAAATTACTCAGTATTATGCAAAGTTACTTCCTAGAAATTTTTGATCAGTTTCCCTTTCTCTGAATCAGACCGTTGGTACCCTTTAAATACAGCAAGTGGCCGGTAGAGTTGGCATATATTGTCCAGTGATTTCTCTCCCTTAACATCTTGAAAAGTGCAAAGAGTTATCCCGGGAACTGCTTGGCACATGTTTGCCCTTGAAATAGTTCAGCCGTGGCAGGAGTAACCTTTTCATTGGTCAGTTTTTCAAATCATTTGTAGGTGGAAGCTATTAGCATATGGAAAGAGAACCCTTCTGTTGAAGAAAATGTGGGCAGTGAAAACTTTCATCCGCCTGGTACCAGATTGCCCTACTCAGAATCCATACTAGACCAGATAAGCCATGCACTTCATGGTATATTTATACTTTACCTTTGTATTTACCTTATTCTATACCCCCTACCTCACTCTGCAGTTTTATCATTAGAAACTACATTTACCTTGATGAATATAAACCTTCTGTGTATTCTTTTACTGAAATTATGGCAACTTTTTAAAGTTTCATTTTTATTCAGCTTTAGTATTCCATTCCTGTGAGCCATCAGAATTTCCCCCGGACTGATTTGTAGTATGTTTGGTGTTTGCTAACATATTTGAAACCTTTCTGTTTTCATCCTTTCTCTACATGATGTAAGATCTAATTACCACCCAGCATGATATAGCAGCTGAAATGAAAAAGGCAGCGAAGAAGGCACTGGCTTGACTTAGTGCTAATCAACTGCTTCTTTCTTACGTGCGTCTCAGAGAGAGAGAAAGAGAGACAGCTTTCATTAAAGGAACTCATGTATTAAACGTCTTTTTCTTTTCTTGATTTTTACCTGAAAGAGGGAACTTCTTCCAATCTTTATGGAAGAAAGACACTAAACAATACTTTTTATTTGCATTTGTAGTCATTGATGCTTCCTTAAATCGTGCAAAATATTTTCACCAGCAGATTTGGTAGAAGTCGTCCCATCCTGTTTTCTTGACATTTAAACAAATAAAACAAACACAATTACAGGAATAAAATAAAATCAAGTGAATGGTTACTCATTTTTATAAGGCTTAGAATTTTTCTCAATTTTGAGCGTTTGGATCTTGAATCTGCCTGAAAAAAAAAACCCTCTAGATTTATCCTTAAAGCGCATGTCATCTTAATATAGTACTTTGGGGGCTTTTTGCTTTCTGAAGTGAATAAGTTGGGTAATTAACCTATTGGGAGGAAAGATTAATAACTTTTTTTACTTTTTAAATGACTGTGGTATGAGTTTTCACTTATATTGTCAAAAATTAAAAAGTCAGATAATACGTATTTTGGGCAGGTGTGGAGAAACACTGTGTTTGGGTTATGTGTTGGTACAACAATTCTGGAGGGGGCATACCTTAAATTGAAGTGCACGTATATCCTTTGACCTAGAAATTCTACCTCTAGGAACCTATCTTGAACATGTATGTATAAAAATGTCCCTAGTGATATTATTTGTGATATAAATAGAAAAAAATGCAAATAACATTAATAGGAGACTATTAAATAAATTATGATACATCTATATCCAGATGTGCCTCATTCTTTTAATAGCTTCTCTTAAAGAGACTATAATACATTTGCATATATTGATAAGGAGTATTCTATAACTTATCCTGTTACAAGGATGTAAGAAAGGAGCAGATAGCTTACTTCTATTTGTACTTTAAAAAGCAAAGGATAGAGATGTATGTGTACAACTTCCCTCCTTCTCCTCCCCCTCACATAGACATACATTCACACATCTAAAGATAGGTAGATGAAAGGCTGCAAAAGAAACCATTGATAGTATTTATCTCTGGTGAATGGGACTGTGGATCTGGGTTGGAAGGCAACATTTATTTGTTTTTTTATGGCAGGGGCATACTTTTCTGAGTTGTTTGAATTTTTTGACCTTGTACAGGTTACTTTTCATAATTAAGAAATTTCAAATGAATGACTAAATCTCTTTTTTTTTTAGGACTCAGCCCAGGAGAGTGTCATTACTAGAGATATTCATCGTACATTTCCTGCACATGATTATTTTAAAGATACCGGAGGAGATGGCCAGGAATCACTCTATAAGATCTGCAAGGTAGGACTCTCCACATCTTTTTTTCCTAGCTTATTTTACAGGGCTCTAAGGAACCCATCTGAAAGATTTTTAGATTTTCATTTCTTATTTGCAGCCTGCTGCGTTCTCTGCTTTACACTTACATTATCAGACCCTTAGTACTGAGTCCTGAAGGTGACTCAGGTTGCGTGTTCTGTGCCTTCTTGTGAGGGAGGAGGCATACGTGGTCTGACCTCAGTTTGACTCTGCTGCTCACGGGAAGGGAACAGAAGGTCCTCTCAGGCTCCTGCAGTAAAAGCTCAGAGGAGTCCTGATGACTCTGCCCATCTGACGAGATAACGTGGCAGTTGTCTCATTTTTTTTTGACAGTAAGCAAGAATGAGAAACAGTGTGGCACCTGTTTCTGAATACTGGCAAGCTCTCTGATATTGTTCATATTCTCTGAGGTATGTCACATCATGCATCTTTGTGCAGTTTTTATGTCCCATCGTGAAATCTTTCTTCTCTCTCATTATTTGTAGCTCTGGAAGAAAACTATTTCCTGATTTTCAGTAAATTGCTTGGATAAAAAAGACTCTGCATTTATTAGTGGAGAATAGGTGTCAGATTATTAATTTCTCAAAGTTATATTAGAAATGCAGAATGACTTTTCAAATCAATATATGTAGTTAACTTAGATTGTCAATGCTAATCGAGGCCAAAGACTCAAAGTTGCAAAATTTCCACTAAACAAAGTTTTGCCCTTTATCCTCAAAGTTAAGATGCCCTTCAAAGTGTGGTGAGTGCACTCAACATTATCCTTCCCTGCCATTCCAGTAGGGTTGTTGGTGAACAGTGAACTACACAAGAATCTTGTAATAATACGGAGGAAAAACAAACACCATGGCTAATTTGTAAGTTAGGTAATAAGTTTCTGAATAATCAAATTTAGCCTTTTGTTAAGTAGCAAAGATTAGCCAGTAGGTAGTCAGAAATATACGCACATACCAATATCATTTTATATTTACTGTTTTATTTAAATGACAGACATAAAAGCCCTTGCCTGCATATTGCTAACCAAGAAGGATTGGTGTTTAATTCTGCAAATGGCACACTTTGAGTAAACTCCTTCTTGCATGTTTGTGGTTTAGCCCTCTGCCTGCTCCTGTCTTGTCTTTTTTTCTTTCTTTCTCTTGATGTAGCAGTTTTGCAGGATTATATATGTACACACTGATCAGAAATCTATTTTTATACGGATATATCATTTAGAGCTAGAAATACATAAGTAGTTGAAGTCTGAGAGTGTACTGATTTCTGGAAAGTGATATATCATCTAGTTTTAAAAATGCCAAAAAACCATCTAACATGACAAAAGTGTATAACGTATTCATTATATGCTTGAAAAGGAAAGTGTAATTATTTAAAAAATTCTACTAGTTTTGAAGTTCTACAAACTGGCTTCTGGCTTGTGTAAGGAAGATATCAAAATTTATATAGTTTCTAAGTTATTTAGAAAGATCTCTCTTATAGCATATGGAACATTTTTCTCCTAGCATTTAGTATATTTTCAGCCAATCAGTAACTTTTCTTTCAGATTTTCTCTGATTGATATACTTTTTTTTCACATAACTAAAACAGAATGCTCTGTGTGCTTACAGCCTCTGACTTACAGTTTTGCTCCATTGTAGTAAAAACAGCATTTACCTCATTATATAATATTCTGAGGGAAAATACGTGAAACGTGAAACACAAAGATAAAAGTTAAATAGTTGGTACATTTAAAAGTTGGTACACGCCTTACTTTGATATTACAGGTGATAATCCAACCTGAATTCATTAGAAAATATTTATTGTACATTCACACAGTTTGTGTAACCATTTTAGATTAACAGTGTGTATGTGCAACATGATAGACAATTTTCAAGCTCTTTCTGAGTAAAAATATAAAGATCAAGATCTAAGGTACTTTGAGATTGCTAAGTAGCTTAAATTGCACTAAATTTAGCAAAAATATGAAAAACAAAAGAATATTATTGAAAACATTTTAAATTTCAAAGTAGTAAATAAAAATGTATCAGGTTTTTAATATTGTGCCAAAATAGATATTACCTAAACATAACTTTATAACAGGCTTTGACAAATGGATATTATCAAAATATATCAGGAAATAATTAGAGAAATTAAAATTTACTGGGGTCCTACCATGTGGACCACTTGGTTTGTAACTGACATAATTCCTTCTCCTCTGGATCTGTCATTATTTAATAGTCCAGTGCTCATGCAGGGAAACCTCAGGTGGTGGTGATAATTACAAGTAGAATATTTATGAGTAATTTAGAATTGAATATTCTTCTCAAGTTTGTACATCCACTTTCCTTTGCTTTTTGTATCCAGGCTGAGCCATGTAACCTTTATCCTACTATGTGTGACTTTTAAGGCCACTGAATGTGGTCTACCTGTTCTGTCATTTTTATTTCTGGAATAATATCTAACATCATATCTTACACTCTCAGCTCTATACCTTTGAGTTTCCATTCTGGATACCTTGCACAAAACTGAATAAGCATTAATAAAACCTTGACCTTGAATCACTCAGTTTGTTATATAATCTGTAAATAAGGACAGTTTTGCTTTTTCTTTACCAATTCTTACTCTTTTTCTTTTTCCCTTACTCTTCTCCTTGTCTTACTACACTGGCCAGAATCTCCATTATAATGTTAAAGTGAAATAATGATAGTAGACATCCTTGTCTTGCTCCTGATTGTGAAGGAAATGCATTGCATGATTTTCCACTAAGAAGGGTGCATGTTATTCACATCAGCAACACACTTACAGACTTTTTAAAATACAGTGCCTTCCACGTGTTATAGTAAGTTCAGGTTTACAGAGTACTTTCGCACGCATGACCTCATTTATTTCTGACAGCTGCTCGTCAGTGGAGCCTACACCAGAAATATAATATGCTGTGCTCTTAAATTGAGACAGAAATTATTAAGGTAATTTCCGTTATAATAAATGTAGAAGTCAACTCTGGTTTCAAGGATACAAGAGCCTGACTTTGTAGTTGGAAAGTTTTCTGTGACTCTGGTGAAATGAGGAACGATCTGAACTGTCAGATTGGAGGGAAGGCTGTTAAAAAGTAGCTGTCATGTTTTAATGGCCCTGTCAATTTTAGTTTTTGCCTTATAATACCTTTTTCAGACTAGGAGGAAATCTAAATGGTTCAAAGATTCTTCTGTTGTCATAAATTTATGTGTGGAAGTGAAACTGAAAGTACAATAGGATTCATAGGATTCTGGAAATAAGAAGGTTTGGTCTCTCCTCTCTCCCTCTCTTTTTTCCTTCTTCCCTCCCTCCCTCCTGTCTTTTCTATTAGTTCTGTCAGTAACATATTTTAAAAGTGACCTTGAAAGGAGGACAAATAAACTACACTGCCCTCCCGCCCAAGTATCATTAGCACTTTTCTAATTTACACATAATGTAAAATCTGGTTTCAGTTAGGAGATAGGCTGGCACAGTTTAAAGGACTGAACATCAGGAGATCAGGTGCTGGTCTTGTTTCCTCCTCCAAGCAGAAATCAGTTTTTGTATTTTCTCTTCAGTAAGAATGTGGGGTCTGCTTAGATTATTCCAGTTCCAATTTGCTATGATTTTAAGTGTTGTTTTTTTAATTTATAAAATTTAATGTATGAATGCAGAATTTAAAGATTAATTTCTATGTTAGATATGAGCTTTGTCTCTCAATACCAGTGCTATAAAGGAGTGTGATTTTACTTTGAAAACTTCACCTGGCTTTCTGTTACTGTGTTTGGGTGTGTGTTTCATGCGCCATGAAATGGTGTGTGTTTAGCAATTTACTTTTAGATATACATCTCTTTATAAGACCTAAGACCAGTCATAGCAATTAATTAGCTAAGTATTGTTCACAACAGTATAGATTGAAGTGACTCCTGGTGTGCAGTTTAATTTGAGGCATATTGCTTTTTCAGATTTTCTGGTTAGAGCAACTGCTTTTTATAAAAGAGGCCACTGCTGTGAATTGAGTGGGAAGGATTGAATATATTATGGAGATCAATACCTTTGTTCATCAGGGCTAATAATTTGATAGTATAATGGTTTGTGGAAGGACAAAAATAAACTTAACCCCTGTTTCATCAAATGTTTTTCTTTCAAAGCAAGATTGGATCTAATGTAAGGACTAAAGCATTCCAAGTGTTATTTTGTTACCAATAATGAGTGATCTGCTGCATGACTTTTGAAGAATGCTAGTGATCAGTGACTCTTGTAAAATTAGGTATGACCATACATTATTTATATTCTATTATTTTCTAGACTTAGGGAGGTATTTGAGGTTTTAGGGACGAATTATTTTTCATGGAGTTGATAATATTTTCTTTCTCTTTCTGGCTTACTTCACTTAGAATGACATTCTCTAGGATCATCCATGTTGCTGCAAATGGCATTATGTTGTCGGTTTTTATGGCTGAGTAGAATTCCATTGTATAAATATACCACATCTTCTTTATCCAGTCACCTGTTGATGGACATTTAGGTTGTTTCCATGTTTTGGCTATTGTGAATAGTGCTGCTATGAACATTGG